TTTTTTTTTTTTTTTTTTTGTTAAATAATAAACCATTTCATTTACAGCAGCATATGCATACGACTCTAGTCTGTATACCATCATACATGTATATACTGTACACTCGGTGTACGCAAGTATCTAATATATTGTGTCACACAAGCCCAACCTTCGTTGCCTCCAATGTACCATGTATCCGCATATAGGGACGTTAATCTGTAGTAGGTTTTTTTTTCCTTCTTTTTTCTTTGTTCTAAAATTTAGTATTGCTTGTTTTTTCTTGTTGGAATAACTTCCGCATAGTGTACAGTTGGTTAGCGTTCCTTTTGGGAACATGGGACGGAACAGTGAAAGGCGAATGCCAACGGTTGGTCCATTTTCCACTGGGTTATATTTGTGCGTGCTTGTGCGTTGCGCGTGGTTTTGTGCTTACCTTCCAGAGGAAAAACGCAATGAGCCCAATACCAACCACCGCGGGAATGAGCGCGGGGGTGTACGGCTTGACATCTTCCCATGTGAGGCCGGGCCAGGATGTGCCTTGGTCATGCATTATGTCATCCGTGTCGTCTGTTTTTGTTAAACCACTTCCATTATGTTCCGTTGGTGCCGCTCCTGGTCCTGTTTGACTACCTCCAGGCTGAGCTTGTGCTGTGCTTCCAGTACCAGAGGAACCTGGATTCACAGTGTCGGTGGATGCGGGTGTTGAGGAACCAGGGTTTTGGTCACCAGTAGAACCTGGTCCAGAGGAACCTCCTCCATCCCCACCTTCGCCACCACCTACACCAGAAACTCCATCCGCCAAATCGGCATCACTGAAACTGGCACTACTACCCGATTGATTTGGGTTCGGGTTCGGTTTTGGTTTGGGTGGATTGAGAGGAGGGGGGTCATCGTTGCCGCCCGCCTTACCGGCGCCATCTACCACTTGGTCCCCGGGGCTAGGGGCAGGAGCAGATGTTGGTGCCCCTTCTGCTCCACTGGAGGATGTTGTTGTGGTTGCTGGTTCTTGTTCTGCTTGTGCTTTCGGTGCTGCCGCTGCTGGTGCTTGTGCTCCTGGTGATGGATCCGCCGCGGAAGTACTCTGCGGATCGGTCGGTTCCCCAGTACCTGTAGAGTCAGGTAGGTGGAAGAAACGTGTGCACACTGAACTTATGTTTAGGATGCTTGCCCACACGGGCGGCTGACGACGGTTGTTGTGGTCCAGCGCTCACGGTTGGCCACGGTGCGAACGGTGGTTGGCTGGTGCCACCCCGGGAAAAGACTCTCTCTCTGTCTGTCTCGGCCACACAGCACACAAAACACACACAGTGTGTGTCGACGTCTGTCGGTCTGCATCTGCGTCGACGTCTAGCTCTCTACATCGCGCGGCCGACCCATCGCTGTCGCTGTGCGTCGCGCTCATTCTCATTCGACGTTTGGTTGCTCGCTCTCTGCGTGGTTTCTCTCCCTCTCTCTGCGGAAATTGTGTGTTTCTTGTTTGTTCTTGTTGTTGCCCCATATGTCGTGCGTATGACCCATACAGTATACGCGTACATGGAGTGCACCGCGGTGTGCACTGGAGGCGCTGTCAAGATGACTTCCCAGTTACCTGGACATCCGGACGCAGGAATTGGGGTTACAGGGGTAATCGTGGTTGTTGCGGTAGCTGCACCCACTTGAGTTACCTTGGTATGCGCGCTAGGACCACATGTTGACTTTTCGGTGGTTACATCTTCCTGACCGGAACCTGTATCCGTCACGTTTGTGGTAACAGTGGGCTGTGGCGTCTGTGCCTCCGCTCCTGACTTAGTTGTTGAGGATCCTCCTGTACCGGATGCTCCACCCTCTGGTGGTAATGATAGCTCTGCCTGGGGTGACACGGATGCTGATGGTACGGCGTCCCCTGCTGTTGTATCTGCTCTTCCTTGTTGTGGTGGTGTCCCTGTTCCCTTTGGCCCCTGTGACAACTGAGTTCCTTTTTCTTTCCCTGAAGTTTTCGACGTGGACTCCTGCTCTGTCTTCTTCTCTCTCGCCGCTGCAAATAAAGCCAGGAAGTAAAAATGACAACATGATACAAAAAAAGGACACAAGTGGTACAGAAAGAAGGGGCCGGGACGGTTCGATCAGGTAGCGGCAGGGTAGATCGGCTGCATGGGTCGAGGTGCACTGCGATGGACTGGGTCAGGCGGCCGCAAGCGTACGGTGAGGTGGACTGCGTACTCGGTGGACTGGCGTAGATGGTAGCAGTACAACTTTTATTTGTTGTGGCCGTCATCTCGGGCGCTGCATCCGGCGACCCGCTGCATCCCTCGTCCGTTGCCTCGTCGCCGCTATCGCTGCCGTCTTGACCCCTGTGCTCGGCTCAAGCGAAGTGTTGCTGTGCTGTTGCGCACCGTTGCGTGGTTGTGGCGGCATCCATATTCGGCAGTATGGGTATACGTACGATCCGTGTTCGGCCGTGTATTCGTATTCGTGCTGCTGCCCATCGGTCTTACCTATCGGTACGTGGGGTGATGATGATGTTGCCGGCGATGCTGCAGCCTGTGTTGTTGCAGGTGCGTCCGAGGCTTCGGCGGGAGAGTCATGATTTGGGGATGTAGCATGTGCCCTCGCCGGTTGCATGAGCTCCTGCGGCACCTTCCGAACCAATACCTTGATGTCTGGGCCTAAGTGCGTTATAACTTCTGTGCTCACGGTGTCCACCTGTAGCTTGTCATCCATTGTATTTGTACCCTTTGTTCCGCTTACGAGTGCCCTTAATGGTTTCTTACATGTGCTTTGTATTGCGGGCCCTGCAAATTTTTCAGTCAAGCTCTGGTTGTCCTCTAACCATTTCTTAATCATGTTTTCCATGTCGAATTCCTGTATTTTTATTTGTGTAAACACTCCCTTGCGGCACTTGCCTTGCTTAATTAATCCACCCATAGCTGTGTCCATCGCTGTCACAGGGTACCATGCATAATGTATGCCCATGTCACTTTTGCATGGAGATTTCAGCAATATGTACATAAATATATTTACTATGGCGCACCTTATACGTGCCTGTAACGCTGCATTCTTAGGGTCGGTATGGTCCGTCCTGACGGACTTCGAACCCCACCCATTCATGAAATATAATGCTCCTGTCATGAGTGTGCACATAATTCTGTCCCCCACGTTAGCTACGATCGGTCTGTTTCCCTTTGGCGGATATGTGTAACCCCTGTTTGAACAATTAGATGCATAGCTGTCTAGGTTCTCATCCTCCATATATCCCACAAATTCGTCGAGTAGCGCTGTTACATCTTGCCCTAGGAATTCCTGTATTATACATAAGGAATATATATCTTTCTGCATAATTTGCCACTGCACCGCTCTCTTCCATACTCATATGTGCCCTTGCCGTGGTGCGTACTGCGCGTACGGTATGTGCGCATTGTATTATTAATAGGGAATTAGTGCACGGTCGCATTCGTACAATGTATATAGAGGCATGTATACATACTATCATGTATATAGGCGGTTATAATTACACAACGCCCCCCGATGTTATACTTAATAAATTACCGTATATTGCTCCTTGTTACGAACTAGACCCCTATCCTTCACATACTTGGCCAATATATGCCCTAACTGTTCCGCCATTTTCCCCGAATATCATAACGTGGACATCTGAATTACCCTTGAATCACTATAACGTGGTGCGTAGGTGGCAACAGTGCATCGCGCAGAACTTGTTGTGCACGCTATAAATTACTCCGTATCCCTTACGCATTAGCATCCTGCGCAATATAACTGCACCATGCACAAGAAAAGAAGGGGTATGTGTCCTGTTATATAACCTATGCACACATATACAATCCTTATAGTTACACTAACAATTGGGAGCATCGCAAGCGAAAATAATGAATAACAAGGAAATTAAGAAGATAAATAACAAATAAATAAAACAAATAAAAAAAAGAAAAAAAAAGAAAAGACAAACAAAAAAAGAAGAGCAAACGAACAACATATTCCTACAAATTCATAACAACATCCTCTACACAATTGAGAGCAGGCTCTCTTGTCTCTCGTCCAAACATGAACAATCTCCCCAAGTAAAGTACCAAAAAGGAAAAAAGAATAGAAACGAAAAAACAGGAAAAACACTACACACAACACATCCAGAATACACCCCTCGCCCCCCTTTCTATACCCGTCTCCACTAAACGCCTGTCACACACACTGTGTCTCTCTGTGCGCGTACACTAAACCCCTTGTACACTAAAACCGCAGTATAACAACAACATCAACTGGTTCTGCCGTCGTTGCTGCCTTGCGCCCGGCGTTGTGCCCGCCCACGTAATATGTGTGTGCCTGCGCTCCCCGTCGCTCTCTTCCCGCGCGTTTCGCGCTCTCTGCTACGTCTCTGTGGATGCGTCACTCGAACCGCGTCCTCGTACACGAAATGTCTCCCAGCAACGTGGTCGCGTGTACGACGGTCCCGTTATGAAGAGAATATGCACAGAATGTGGGTATGATATTGAGAAACCTGTAGTGAGAGTAATAAATGGAGAAATGGCAGAATGGTTAGTGCGGGAAGGAAGACTAATGGACAAAATTGGACACATGGAGGGCAGTATGCCCTGTGAGCAGGATTGGAAGGAGTATATAGCAAGTAAGGGTGTTACAGAAAAAGTCAAGGACATTAGCAAGAAGCTGCCTGAGGTAAAAGCAAACGGAGGAAAAAGTAAGGACGGAGACGAAGACAGCTTTTGCAGAGGTTACAAAGATAGTGGACCAGAAAATTAAGGAAAAGGAGGATGAGGAAAGGGCAGGTAAGGATAAGAATAATAAGAACACTAAGAATACACATAATCCGAATACGTTTCGCACGAAGACACCCAGTACGAATATACGGCGCCACGACCCCCTACGCACGCATACGTATGCCACCACCACCACAACAACACGCACACGCGGGAAGAACATCACGGCACACGGCTTCGTTGAGCCGGGAACAGCGTCCACGACTACCACGAGTGTAAACGCGGTGTGTGTGTAGCGGCGGCCACTACGGCCACTGTAGCGGCAGCTACCGTATACGAGTGTGGCGAGCGTACCATTCGCACTGGCCGTCACGACGGCAGCGGTAGCGGCGGCGACCAGTGTGGAGCGTAGAGTGTAACGAATTTATGCATATACAGGTATTATATTTGAATAGTTTGTTACAGAAGCTCTACCGAAAACAAGAAAAAATAAGAAGTGGTGAATACGTTGTTCATGTGACAAACTCTGCCACAATATTTGTTTCTATGACGCATGTCGTCGTCAGAGATTCTGCAAATTCCCCTTAAACACCTGTTTTATTATCGTACTCAGATAGCCTTACCACTTCCTGTTGTTTAGTGGTTATAGATTTCTCGTTCAAGATATATTAGAGAATGTGTCTGTTATTATCACAAAAAGAAAAAAAGAGAAAGAAATGATCTTACAGCAGAACAATCTGTACTGTTGCTCATATATAGATGCTTAGATATTACATGAGCCCCTATATACCATGTAAGAACAATGGAAAAACGAAGGTACTTGAACTCAGTAACAAATTTGCTATGTCAGCAACTTCCAGCACATGCTCTACTCATGAGTATTCATTTAACAAATCAATGTAATATGTGCTTCATTCGTATTCTGTATATTATTATTTTCTACATTCATATTCTTCACCCTACTATTTTGAATTATTTGAACGCTTCACCTATTGTTACTGTATGATGAACATTTTATTAAAAACTATTCTAAGTAGTATACCGTCGTTCTACACATTAGAAAATTATTCAGTACACCTTAAACGTTGAACCTGCGCAGTAGCAAATTACTAGTCCTGAAAAGACCTAACAACAACATCGCAACCGGTCCTTGTGCGTACATTTGTTCCTTTCGTCCTTAAAAGTACTATGAATTGGAAACAATTTGCCAACTCTTTCCCTATTAGGCAAATTCCAGACCTTACATTTTGGGGAATCCATTTATTGCTACGCAGCATTTGGCTAATTGTACACAACTTATTTCTTTTGTAATTTGCGTCCTTGCGGGCCCAGACATATACTACTACTATCTTCTTGCGCGATTAGTACGCTGGTGTGTATACATTTACATATACATATATGCTGTATATATTCATTTCGGGCAGGCAGGTACTGTACGCGCTACTGCTTTCTTCTTTCCCCATTGCCACATTTCCGTCCAGTTGTTTTGTTTCCCATTGTATTACGAAGGCATCATGTGACCCCCATGATAAACAACGAGTACATATACAAAGTTAGTTATAAATATATATAACACGTTCGACAACCCACAAACGGTCTCCTTGCTTTTACACATACATCTGCCACAAAATATATTTGGCATTTATTCCATATGTGTTCGTTCAATATATTACACTTCAGTTCGTCGTTCTTACTGTGCGCATGACTCCGCGCATCCCTTTTTTTCTTTTTTCCTTTTGCATCACACATATTAAAAATATTGCACTTCCTGTAAAATTGACGATTACTTTTTCTTTGCCTTTATCCTTCTTTTTCATTTTCGTAAAAAAGCGAAAAGAACAAAACAGAGCGCTAGGAACAACGATTCCTTTGTTCATGGTATTTTTCGCTTCCGGAACATGGCGCCCTTTGCACATCTTCAGTTCATCATTCAGTAAGTGAAAAAGGGGTGCGTATAAAAAAGCAGGAAAATAATACAGAAGAAAATAAAGCGCATATCAGTAAAGGTGCATATAAAATAAAACAGTACGTGTACACATTTATTTCAAAGTGCACTATTACGTAAATCACATATGAAATTTAAAATAAATATTGGATGATGCGCCCGAATACATGTGCAATTGCTTCTGCGCCTTCAATGAGAATTTTTTTGTTTTGTTAGCTTCTAGTAAAAACCATTAATAATAATTGACTATGCATTTGTGCATATGGTAATATTAAGAAATGAAGAACAATACATCTTTTGCCCTTTTGTTTTCACATTCTTCCTTTTCTTCTTTTTTTTTTTTTTAATCAATACATCTATTTAAAGATTAAAAAAAGGACATAAACGCAAAATTAAACACAGAAAATATATTCTAAGTTAGGAAATATCATTCATGTAAGAATTTTCTTCCTTCATCTAAACTATATACGCACCCCCCGCAAAGCATTACATTATCTTACCTACATTTAGAACATTCATTTCAGTACAAATAAAACAAAAAAAAAAAAAAAATATTCACTCTTGACGAAGTGCATATATTTCTTTTTTTTTTTTTTTTTTTTCTTTTTCCTTGTTTCACTTGTACCTATTCTTACATACCTACGCCTACACATATTGTTGTACGTTCCCTGTGACCTTTACACTTCTGCCAAATTTTTCTAAAAAACCATTTTTGTGAGATTGGCCTACGGAATTAGAAAGAGAGAGAGGTGTCCCACAGAAATGCAATCTGGCAAAGCCATTATTTCCATCTGGCTTCTTCCCTTCCTCCTTTGGGCGCGGGAATACACCAAAAATGTAAGTTGAACCAAATTCACATATGTGTGTTAACACCTTGTAGTGCCCTTGCACCGGCCTACGTCCTCAGCAAGAACGGGAGTGTGCCTACGACAGCGACTGCTTCGACCGCACCCGGTGTACTGATTATGCCCATTGCTACCATTTCAAGAGACAACGTCGATTGCCTAGCGCGTGTGTGTGTTCAGGCAGGTCTCGCTGTATAATGGTACACCTTGCACGTATCCCATTGCATCACGCGCAATCGCTCCTCTTGCTTTCTTATCCATGTGTGTATAAGCGTGCATACCTTGCGTCTCACACGGGCTTCCATATGCGGGCACTCAGTTTATAACCTGTTAGAGGATGCGTCTACAAAATGACCTTCGGCATACAAACAGACATGCACACGCGCAACGCTTTCATGAATGCCCTATGGTGTACTCATTATATCATTCCAGTTTCCTACATGTCATCCTTTCCTAATGCCTCACGTACCCCCTTTCTCAGGGTGCCCTTCACTGCAATGAACACAACCACGGCGTGCACACACAACAACTCAGCCTAAGGGCTGGTAGAATGCTGTTTGAACATGCCTCCCTCCAGAAGAATATCGACGTCAGTACTACGTCCCTCGGGAGTCTTGACAGCATCTTTAACAGCAACAATCCTGGAAACACAGACAGAATCTACAACAGCGCCACAGGAGCCTTCGGTAATGACTTCGAAAGCTCTATAGGTACTATCAGCACAAATGATCCCAAAAGTGTAGCATCCTCCATAAGCACCTTTCACGTGGACACAAGTAGCAAAGGAAGCCATGAGGATGTAGCCTCCAATAATCAATCTACCATAGGTGACTCCATCCTATTCGATATTCCTGATAATAACAGCGTCAGCAGTCATAACTCAGGTTCTACAGCATGGAGTACGGCGACAGGTTCGAGCACAGCCTCCGGAAGCACTACCTCGCACAGTTTCCACAAAAGGAAAAGACCCAAATACTACGACGGCTCATATGAAGATTTACAAACCGTAGAAGAAAGAGAACAAATGCAGAGAGCCAAGGAAATGGCACAGAGGAAAAAAATTCTGGATGAATCTAATTACGATCTCGAAAATGTCGGAAACAATTTCAAAGGACACTTGAACAAATATGACATACAAAATAAAGATAAAAACAATTACGAATTTAACAGTGAAAAATCCCTAGATTCAAGATTAAAGGAAAAGAACGACGCAGAACACAAATCACGTAAGGACCGCAAGAAACGTTCTAGGAAAAGTAGAAAATCTAAACGCACAGCAGAAAGCGAAGCCGAAAGCGAAAGTGACTCCTCCTCATACCTCTCTAATGACACAATCGATCAATCAGATGAATCTATTTTTGGAGTTAACCAACGTGATACACTGCTAAAAAAAATAAGAGAATGTAGTCCAGAAGACAGAGAAAAAATGAGAAAAATTTTGAAAAAACTTAAAAAACATAGAAAAAATACAAAATTGGAAGATTTAGAGCATGCACTAAGTTATGAATTAGAGGGATTCACGACACATTCAAATACTGATGATGATGCAAGCAGTACCATTACTAGCAGCACTTCTGGTACTATACCTGACAGTGTAAGTGACTCGTCCCCATTTGTAGGAAGACGACAAAGCGCAAAGAAACGGTCCAAGGAAAACCCCGGGAATGACATCAAAGAACTCAGATCATACATCGACCAAACCATGGATGGGAATAATGCCGAAGTTGCCCACTTGCTAGTTAACAAAATTGAAAAATACAAAGAGAAAGTCACCAAACTGAAAGAGAAAAACATGCAGGACGTGAACTACATGAACATGAAACACAAGCACAAATTGAAGAAGTTCCTCTACTTCGTCCCACTTATTACCCTCGCCACGATTGTCGTGGTAGGTTTACTTGTCGCTTCCATCTGGAACGCACCAGGTCTTATTGGTTACATTATTGCTGCGCTGGCTTTCGTCTTTGGATCCCTCATATGCTATGGAATTATGGGAAAAGTCATGTTCAATTCTGCCCTGGGCATGATTGATGGCCTATGGGGCGCACACCCGTATATGGCTGTGGATTACATCATAATCTGAAGAACAAAATTCATGTAGTAAATGAATGAACTGAAAGTTCTCCCCCTGAAGTAGCAAGCCGCTCGCGAGCCCAATGACAAGATGTCATCATGTGCCCCGTCCGCTATTACACCCCTCCTATAATGCACGATACGATGCCATAAATGAGAACAATACCCTACTAAGACACCAGACTTGCTACATATGCGACAGGAAAAGCATTTACGATACGTGTTCATCCTAAGTACAACGTTCCAATGTGACACCAAACACGATTATATTAAAAAAAAAGTTACGCCAACACTAATGTCTAATATATATAATCATCATAAAAAAAACAGTGCCCTTGTACAATACCATGGGTATACACACTGTACTCCTAAATGTACAAAAACATCATGCCCATATTTTATCTCATTGTAAGCATAAGATATAAATCGTCCCATAATACTACATGATGATCTGTTCTTTTTTTTTTTTTTTTTTTTTTTTTCTTCAAAAATGTATTTCGCTAATACATTGAGCCACTTTGCAACATAACGAAAAAAAAAAGAAAAGAAAAAAAAAAAAAGAGTTCTGAACTATAAAACGATACATGCAGCCAATTAACTTTTACAACGGAAACTTATTAATGCACTAAACCCGTGTCACCAAATTACTCGTCTGCTTTGGCTTCGTAGTTTCATGTAATATATACGCTTGCTGTCATGTCCTTACAAATTAGCCAAACCAATTCATTCATTTATGCTAAAATGAGTATTTCTAGCGACATGATCCTGTCGTACCACCATTGAAGAAGTTCTGCACGTGTTACATAGGAGGACAAAAAGTTTACCCGGTGGCAACCGCGCGAAAGAACCGACTCTGCGGCCGAATAAGTGCATCAGTCATTTCCCGGCGTTCCTACGTTTGCGTCTCCTTTTTTTTTTCCTATCCTATGAAGCCGTTTCTGCTCATTGGGACATCACTTCGCACCTTCTCCAGGAGTGCTAATAAGGGGGCCAATGCAGCAGCCCTTCCTTCGGGCAATTTACTCCACAAATTATATATCAACTCCATGGAATCTCCCATCCTACGGGCAGAAAAACGCCAATGCAGTTGCCTCAACTGCTAAATTCGAAAATGATAAGTCCCTACATGTAGCCACACATCATTATTTACTCCTCTGCATAGCGATGGCACCCCTCATAATCTGTTGAGGAGAATCATGTTCCTCGTCCTATAAAACTTCAAATTTAAAAACAGCAAATGCATCCATTTGCTTTGGATACTCTTCATTTTCTTCTTCCACAATTCTAATTCATCAAATATAAATTTAATAAAAACTTCATGTTCACACATCCCATTATCAATAAAAGGGTAAATTTTGTTAAACTCAAGTTTTTCAGTTTTTATTGTTTCTTCCTTCATTTGGTAATACACCTTGGACCATATATTCATTTTAGACTCTTTCGGGACGCGGTAGGAATTGGCAATTTTTTCGCAAAAAACCCATATTTTTTCTTCCCTGTAAAAACATTTGTTCCTCATGATGTTGTACACACTATTCCATATACTATACATTAGGTCAGAACTGATAAGACCATTCAGAGTTTTTATTTTTATAATTAACTCTCCTTCATCCAGGTCTTTCCATGTGTGTAAATCTTCTACGATTACTGCTTGTGTGCCTACCTTCCGTTTCACTCCTCCCACTTCACTCTTCCTAATAACATTTTCCTCATTGTTCACTTGTCCATTTTCTGTATAAAATAAATTGTCCATGTTCTGTGCCTCCTTATTTGTTTTCTTCATTTTCTTATTTGTTTTCTTCTTCAACATGATGTTCTTAATTTTGAATAAAAACCCTGACAGTTTCTTGCGGCGGGGGTACCTCCTCGTCAAAGATCCCCATCCAGGGCAGCTCCGAGTACTGGACTAGCTTCCGTCCCCCATGTTTGAGTCCCAATCCGGAAAATGACCCTACGGGGGGGGGGCAGATGTGCTCCTTATAAATATGTGAACACACAATGCCTAACTCGTCCATCCATGTATACTCACATGAACACATAACCACATTAAATGCAAAGCCAAAAAAAAACAAAAAGAGAAAAAAAAAAAGATACGTGACAAATGTTTCAATTGACTCACTTTACCTGCACACAAACAAATAACAGAACAAAGACCACAATCCTCGAAGGTCCCAAAAATAACATCCTTAGAACATTTTTACTCTCCGTTGCTGCTTCCTCTGTACGAGTACCACAACAAATGGCTGCCTGTTTTTTCTTTCCCGATTGCGTCATACTTGGTGTACTGAAAAAATATCTCATGTACATGTCCACAATTTTGAGTGCTTACCTCATACCCGCGTCAAAAGGGGATGCACACGCGAGAAAAAAAAGACAAAAAAAAAAAAAAAAAAAAGCAAACACGCGTAACA